GTTTGTTTGAGCACAAAGCTACACAACGAGCTATCTGCGCTCTGTCCACTGTAAGGAATTGAACCCCGAATTTTAGCGTTGTAAGTCCGTAGAGTTACTGCTGAACCACCGGGAAACTCGCGTTTTGGCGAGGAAAATAAATACATGAATCAAAAATGAAATCAAATTATTTCATTGAACTAAAAATTATTAAATTCTCCTAATGTTGGACTACAAATACTATTTTTGGAATTTATTCCGACCTAAAACGTTTCAACAGTTATCAAATATTTTGTACATAAATAAATTTTAGAAAACTGTAAACCAATAATGAATGTTTTATATTTTTAAGCCTTGATGACAATAATTACTTGTTGCATAACTGTAAGTTCATTTTATAAACAGCCACAGCGCAATTAAGCTAAACAATTATATTTAATTTGGCAATTTTTTTTTTTTTTTTTTTTTTACAGTAATGTGTTTTTATTGGACATATTTGTGATCATGCATAAAATGCATATGATGGAAGTAATACATACTACTGTTGATGCTACAATAAAGCTATAAATATAATTTAATTGAATGATTTGGTTTTAGTTCTTGTTTAAAAATGAAAAATATCAATGGCTCCAAGCTTCTTTTTTTTTTTTTAGCCGCGGCTCCGAGTTTTTCAAATACAAACTTTTAGCTCATAGCTTCGCCATCTCTTGACCGATTTGAGATCTAATTACAGTTTTGGACTCAGGAGGTCAAAACCCTCTCGATTGATGTATTTGACCACGCCCAGAGTCTCATAGGATAATTTACTCTAATCCTGCCTAAAATAATTTCAGTTTGAGGGTAAGCTGGTAGATATCCCAGTAACTAATAAAATCGAATCGGGTATACGCGCACCCGACGCTTAGTATTGCTGGAGCACAAAAAATATATATATAATAGAAAGGAAAAAAAAAGTCTCATACATTAAGTTACTCTAATCCTGCCTAAAAGAATTTCAAGTAACGCGGCTATTGTTTTATTTACAAATCCATTTTATAATATGTGTTTGTTGTTGTTTTTATCTCATGTATAACCGTTAGTTCAGTAAGGTTATAGATACAGTTAAATTGAATTATTTGGTTTGGTTTATATACTTTAGAAATATAAAATATTAATGGCTCCAATCTTATATTTACAGATCCATTTTAAAGTGTGCGTATGTGTGTTTTTTACATCTAAACTATAATATCCTCTGTAAGTACCATATGTGGATTCTGTAATAAGACACGTATGTGTATCAGACCTAATGAATATGATTAATTCCGAAATAGATCTTTGTTTTTAAAAAAAAGGTTTTAAAAACAGATTTTATAAAAATTACATAAGTGTATGGTGTTGTGTATATGATCCAGTTATGATTTATTGTATATATAAATGTTAATGTTCTGTCCTACCTATAAGGTGTAAAAAATAAATTTGAAATAAATATATATATATACTCTGTTTTTATAAGCAATGTTTGACATTTTGTAAAATTGTTACATCTTTTTGTCAAATAAATGTATTTCAAAATTTCTTGTTTGTTTGTTTGAAGTTAAGCACAAAGCTACACAATGGGCTACACTATGCCCACCACAGGTATCGAAATCCGGCTTCTAGCGTTGTAAGTCCGCAGATATACCACTGTGCCACTGCGGAGCAAAGGGAAAAAAACCCAGAAAAATAGCTATAAATAAATAAATTGAAATATTTCTGCCATGATAATCTTTGAATGCGGCCAGGTGCTAGTTGCAATGCAAATGATATACTAAATGTTTGAATGAACACCTATGTTCAAAGTCTCCGGCGTTTTAAACTTAAAAGCCATGCAGGGGTGTGGCTCACCAAATAACGTGAGTTTGATATTTCATGAGCATGGAAAGTAAATTAATGCAATTGCTTTCTTACAAATTGATTAGACCGTTTTTGAAATGTGTTGTTTTAGGATTGGGTTAGCCCACCATGAGTATCGAAGCCCTCAGACTTATCGCTGAGCCACCTGGGTGCTTACTTTCTGTTTGGTCGCTGATTTTAGACATAAAATATCTGTTTATTTCCAACACAAAACAATATTGTCCCCAAAACTGAGTTGGAAGTATTGTTTTATAAAGATGCAGGACATGTGAAAGAATCGTTCTTCAAAGACCGTCTAAGAATGTGATATACAGGTAAACTGATGTCCAGCAGGAAGTTATAAGTATCCATAATATTCAGCAAACTCGAGAAATGTTAAGTAGAACAGCTAATGAAAAACAACAGCGAAGAAATTACGCAAACGGTAAATGTACATTTTTATTCTTTAAGTTACGTCACATTTTGAAATGTGAATGATAGTGTGATTAATTCCTAACAATTTAGTGTAAAATTTCCTGCTTGCGAAATATAATTTGGCATCAACATTATTCACGCCTGTTCTCCAGTCTTTCAAAAGTGAATGTTGAGCTTTGCCTGCGTGTCACCGTAAAAGGGAGACAGACATCACGGTTCGCAATATACGTAAGACTAGTGATTTTCTTAAAACATGTAATAAACTTCACTAAACAACAAAATCAGAAACGTACGAGACCTTAAGTATTATAACTTATTTATCACCAATGATTTTAAGTGTTCTCAGTAAGGCAATACACACATGACTATTATTTTTATTTAGTGTTCATTTAGTTGCAACAGCACCCATTAAAAAAAATAATAGCTCAAACTAGCGACTTTTCTAGAAATTCAAATAAACAAGACAAAACGTAACTTTATATTGGGCTCTTTACTATTGAACTATAAGGCTGTTAAATAATTAGCACATAAGTTGTACTTTTTAGAATTCGGTGAATTATTCATCAAAAATTATCCTATAAATTATCAACATAACGGTAAGATAATTCTACTACATGATGATTCAATGCTTTTAAGGCATTATAGATATTACTTTTTTCCGTATTAAATCATTACATTAAATGCTCCTAGTCAGTTTGTGATGCAGAATTGGCTTGATTACTTTTTGTTACTTTTAGTTTTGATCTCTGTAGTTTATAGATATAAGATATTGTTGCGTCATCGGGATCACGTGACTATTCTCACGCCCTCTACTTTCAGGAACTATCCTGTACTTTGG